GGATTCTCTCAGGAGTTGGTATATAAAATGTCACATGCAAAGATTTTAATTTTATTTTTAGAGAGGGAAATTTCCATTTTTCTTTCAGTTAATTGGAAATCTGGACACCTACAAATGAGAACGTCACATGGAGAAAAAAATGTGCTACATGGAATGAAAACTTTTCTTGATTTGAGAATGACCAAAATAAAGTTCATGAACATCCACAGAGAAAGAAAATATCCCCATTATGGGGCCTAACGTAGACAGAATGCTGTTTGTAGAATTTGTTCTATTAAACCATGCACCATAAACATTATGATGTTCACTAAAATCCAGACATGATATTAGCCCTGTGTGCTAGCATAAATACTACCTATATTTGTGGTTCTCAATTGGGAGTATTTAAAATTGAATAGAGTATTATTAGCTGTCACAGTGCCTGGTGAGCACTGGTGGCCATCAGACTAAGGATGTTAACATCCTTATGCAGCAAAGAACTGCCCTGCCAAGAGCATCTCCACTGAGAAATAACACTCTGAATGAGTGGTTCTCAGCCAGGAGTTATTTTAACCCCCAGGGGTCATTTGGCAATTTCTGGAGAAATTTCTGGTTGTCACACTGTGGGGAAAGGGCATGCTACTCTTGTCTCATGGGGCCACTAAGCAACAACTGTAGAGATTAGAATAGTATTTTAAAACCAGCTAAAATATCTTATATTCTCTTAAATATTTACAATAGGAATACATATGTACAACACACACACGTACAGAAATGTAGCATGTAAACTTTACAGCCAATATTTAATCATATGTCAAAGCAAGTGTATAATTTTTAAAAACATATTTGAAGTCATAATAAACTATTTCATGTTATGCTTTAAATTTTGCATTTAAATTTGACTAATCTGAAAAACAAGTTATCAAAATCCACAAACCTGTCAACACCTGTGGCATCGCCCCCCAAGGAACTATGCCAATGAACTGGAAGGAACTCCACTCTGCTTATTTTCCCATCATCTAGAGATTTCTTGAAATGTGTCTGTAGCAATTTGAGAGATACCACCCTAAAATCATCCACTTCAAGAAAAAAAGAAAAAGAAAATGACGGAAGATCAACTAAATTTGAATTGTCCTAGCTGGATAGCTAGTTAGCAATTACCTCAAACATGTCAGTATTTTTGCAACATAAAGATACATTTTTAAAAGAAAAAAATGAGGATAACAAAATTAATAAAAGAAAAACAATAGCCAACCCCTAGAAAGCTCTTTTTAACATTTCATTATTTTAGAGGAATGTATAAATGCCTGAGAAACATCAGGTTAACTACCACTACTGGAGGCAGCATGGAACCCTGGGTAAAGACTCTGGAATCAAACTACCTGCTATAGGATCAGGGCTTCAGGACCTACCGACTATAAGGGAGAGTTTCACTCACCCTGAGCCCCTAATAATGGGGATAAGAGCCATAGTACCTATACCTCAAAGGTTTATTTTTTAGGGTTAAATGACAATACATGCAAATTATTTGGCACATACTAAGTATTCAACAAATATGAACTATTATTATACAGACATAAAAATAAAACTTCAAAAATGTAAGTCAACTAGACAGATTCATGGTTCCATTAAATAACTTCTTACAACTAACTCACCAAAATCAGTTCAAGGCACAGGTGCTCCTAGTTGCTGGAAGTGCTTAGGCAGAGGCTATCTGTCAGAAAGTCTAACTTATTTCCAAGATACCTTCTAATTCTTCAGACTTTAAGATTTTTGAGTTACATATGTCATAAGAGGAAATCAAGCATAAATTAATATTTCCCACCAATGATTTAAATCTCCCCTTACAACTCCTCAGCAAGGAGTATACAGCTGGGAAAGAAGCTAAAAATGAATACTCAAAAGCTCTTCTATTACTTCTCAGATCATCTCATGAAATAAAATATGACAAACACTTACCACATTCGATAATGCTTCTAAAGCGCAAGTCACACACAGGTCCAATTCCATGCACCATGAACACCAAATGGTCAACCTGAGGCATTTCCCCTATTAAAAAAATACATACATATACACATACATAAAAGCTGGGAATTTATTTGGGTTTTCCTAATTCAATAGCAATATTCTAGATATCCCTTTTGTCATTACAAACTTACCAAAGAAATTCATGACCCTTCCAAGTGAATAAGCCTCATTACCATCCACCAAATTAGAGGAACAATTTGTCCATCTTGGCAATGACAGCAAACTAGAACAAGAGGTGGAGGAAGCAGGCTCTCTCTGTCCCCCATGGCTATCAGCATGCAATGACCAGCATCTTTGTACCTATGAAGGCTTCATAACCTTGTGATTGCTTCAGAACTCCCCAGGGCACTAAGCCCCACATGGAGAAGCAATTTAGCAACATAAAACTTTAAAATCTTTTCCCAAATCCTTCCACTTGATGTTAGATTCATACACTATTTTTTCTACTCTAA